GGGGACTTCTCTATCAAAGCTCAGGGTAGGTGCACCAACTTGTTGCCTGGCTTTGGCCAGCTAGGAGTCAAGATCCCTCACACTCCTAAACCACCTCTGGAAGGAGGAGGAGAAGAAAAGCAGTGTTTACTTTTCACCTGATGTGTAAGGAGTATTCATTACACAGCGTTAGAACACCTGCCCAGGGCAGAGATGGAAGTGCCCAGGTCCACAGGTCCAGATTCTCACAGAAAGACTTGCATGCTTACTCTTCATAAACAGAGGAAAAGCTCCTCGAGGGCTTTTAGCCATCAACACTCTCAACATTCAAGAACTGCAAACTGATGATTGGTTCTTCCTATATCCACATCTGCCTTGATAGAAAGAAGATGCCCAGTTAGAGTGAAAAGCTTGGACCATGTACTTAACACATTGTAAAGTGGGCTTCCATAAATAACTAGGGCCTGGCTTATTAGACAGCTGGACTGATCAGTTTTCATTTCATGGAAATCACACAGACAACCCAAAAGACAAGGCAAGTCCAGGGCTGGGGCAGTCAATGCTGAGAACCCCACACTGCCACCTGCAGGTGATGCTTCAGATTGCAGCTCACGCAGAGATAAGTGCAAACTCACAGTCTATAAAGGCACATGCCCAAGCTTAGTGGTTACAAATCAGGCTGCTAATCTCAAGGTCAGCAGTTCGAAACTACCAGCAGTTCCGTGGAACAAAGAGGAGGCTTTCTGGTCCTGTAAAGATTTACAGCCTGGGAAACCCTGTGCAGGGTTCGCTATGAGTTGGAATCAACTCCACAGCACACCACCGTCACTGCCAAGGCTGCTTTGAAATCCTTCTGAATATGACAACACCCACGTCATGTCAAGGATGCTAAAACGGCCAGCCAGCTAATACTGTCTGATGGCTTCGTACATGCTGGGTTGTAGACTGTCTTCCTAGGCATTTCTGAGCATGTCATTGAAAGAAAACTTTATGAACAGGACTCATTAGCTAGCAAAATGCTTCATCCCATGTAATAACCCAAGGCTCACCAAATTGCAGGGTAATCAGTATATTTTAGTTTTTTTACAGCATCACAACCACTTTGATTTTTTTAAGAACAGGAAACAAACTACCTGGATAATGGGAAAACAAACTTAATTTGAAGTTAACAAAAACAAGAGCCATCTTTTGTCCCCCAACTACAGGTTGCTGCCTTGCTAGGTTTTGGAGAGTGTCTGACCCATTCACTCCACCACTGCTGACAAGCAGAGCTGCCTCCCAACCCAGAAGCTCTCATCTTCCAAACAAAGGAAGGGTTTTCTTGCTGTCTTCACCACCTGACTGTCTGAATGCCTAAGAGCCCAGGGAAGGAGGACTGAAAGGCAGGGCAGCCAATCAAAACTAATCTCTACCCTGGAAGTAAATTCAGCATTTGGTCCCCTGAGCTCATGTCCAGGGAGGCGGAGGTGGCAGCTGGTAGGGTGGGGGTGCTTTTCCTAGTGGCTCCCACCATGGAACCCCAAAACTAACCTGGGTCTTTCTGCTCAATGTCTTTCACTAAAATTAGTCTCAGGGGAAATTTTTTATTTTATTTTTTTAGATCCAGTCCAAAACTAAATCCAAAGCAACCAAGCTGATTTTATGACTTATTTCTTTCTTCTTTCGTGAACAGAGAAGGTTAATATAAGAGCAACTCCTTGGCAAACCTTTTAGGGTAATTCAAGCGACACTGATGTGAATCAATGTTCCCTTTGTGAACACATTACTTGGCAGAAACTGGCTTCTTGTAACCCCCTTAAACCTAGCCAGCAAAACAAAAAGAGGGGGAAAAATGTCCTTCAAACAAAAGGATGAGGTGAAAATAAAGAGAGTCGACTCCACTTTATTCTCTTTCATAGAAGCAAATGGATCTGCTGCTTTCATACATTAATCAATCAATATCACCGACTGTACATCAGCAGGGTAGCCAAGTTATGAATGACCTTTCTGGCAAAGAGGACACTTTTAATGCTCATAAGACTGCTCTGAGCTTAGCAACTTTCCGAATTTATGCCTGCATGATTACCCCTTGGAGGCGGGCGGCTGTTAGCAGTGCACTAAATATGGCAAGGTTAGTCGTTTCCAATTTGCACAGAGGGAAGGAGAGACGTGGCCTGGGCTGCCCCGATTCTGCAGGTGCTGCTACAACCTGGGCCAGGTGGGGGCAGAGGCACTGGCAGCCTGGGACCGCAGAGTATGCTGACCTCCTATTTCACTTCAGAGAATTAAATTCTGTGTCTGAGCAAAACTGCACAAGGGGCTAGGCCAATCCAAATAGGGCAGCAGCAGGCAGTGAATCTGGAAAACTGGCAGCTGGAAGGTTACCCACAGTGGGGGAATTCCTGGGCTCCATCACATCCTCCTGCTACTGACTTCTGCCTGCACCTCTAAAAATCCTCTCCACACTCTTCCAGTGGGTAACGCGTAACTAAATCATCCAATGAGAAACCCATGTAAAATATGTTTAAAACAACCCATCAAACAGCAAGTCTATTCAACGGGCATGGTGGACTCTCCAGAATTGGAGCTTTCTCTCATCTTCTCTTACTGCCTCACCAATGCCAAATTTCTCTTCATCATCAGACTGCAGGGGAGTTCTGGGTGGAAATGGGGCAAGGGGCTGCCTATGGGTGGGGTTTCCATGACAATCAACCATCATCCCATGCCCCATCACCACCTCAGCTTCTCTGCCCATGCCCCTTTCTCAATGGAAACATGGTGGCCATTTACCAAAAGAAGCCCTACTTCTCTCTTTCTCTCACTGAGGGGCACACAGTGACAGGGTAATTTTAAATACAGCTTTCACTTGACATACACAAACCCAGTTGCTGTGGAGTCAATTTCGACTCATGGTTGACCCAATGTGTGTTAACACAGAACTGAGCCCCATGAGCGATTTTCAGTGGCTGGTTTTTCAGAAGCAGACCACCAGACTTTTCTTCTGAGTTACCTCCGGGAGGGTTCAAACCTCCACTCTTTGAGTGAGCAGCCAGTACACTGACTGATGTCACCACAGAAGAGCTCTTCATGTAAATTACAAGGGAAAGAAACGCAGAGGCGAAAGCGTGGTCCTCACTAGAACTTGGGGAAACTTCAGAGTACAAGTGTGTTCATCAGACACCGGGCCTCACTCTACGGAGTTGTCCAGCTGAGAAAACCACGTAGCCAGTGGTGTGCACTGGGGGTCTGGAGGATGCAGTTTACATGCATCAATATACCTAACACCTACAAGAGTGAAACTGTAATAGGCTTTTTTGAACCTCTGAACGCACTTGATCCAATTACAAGGACACTTCTAATCCTATGGTCTTGTCTGCATGGGCTACAAGCAGACCCTGTTGTTTTCCTTACTGCAGATGCTACTGGAGTCAGTGACTTTGCCAAATTTTTTGGTGTTTTAGCTCCAATGCAGCAGCAACTAGTATTTCGGAATCAATATTATGAACTTTGTGAGAATAAAGTAGAAATCAAAAAAAGAAAAAGGACAAAAATTTTAAAAAAGGCTTCCGCTCTGTTATCAATAAAGTTGTAACAAATATTGCGGTAAAATTCTACATAGAAATATTTTGCAAAACAGTTTTGTTACTAGTATTCATATAATCTAGGGAGTTTATCCTAGGGGTCCATGGGATAAACACTGGACTGTGAAGCACACAGTCAACAGTTAGAGTCTAATAGCTACTTCCTGAGAGAAAGATGTGGTTTTCTGCTGCTGCAAAAAATTAAAAACTTTGTAAAGCCTCTATGGTCCTGGTATGGTGCTGTGGCTTAATGCACTGGACTGCAAAGTGTGTTTGAACCATAAGGTCAGCAGTTCAAGCTCACCAGCTGCTCCTTGGAAACCCTATACAGGGTCGCTATGGGTCAGAACTGACTCGACAGCACTCAACAACAAACCCACTACGGAGACCTGGTGTGGTGCTGCAGGGGAAAGCACAGGACCACAAGGTCAGTTTGAACCACAAGGTCAGCAGTTCAAACTCATCAGTCACTACTAGAAAACCCTTTACAGGGTCTCTATGAGTCGGGATTGACTTGATGACACTTAATAACAACAAACCCTATACAGAGTTGAGACCAACTCCACAGCACTTAACAACAACAAATTTACATAATCTCAGAAAATAGTACATTTAAGCAATTTATAACCATATTGCTCACATGTTATTTCATGACTATAATGGATAATAAATGTCACTAAGGGCTCTGTATGGTCCATGGTGGGAGGAAAGGGAGGTGACACCATAAGTAACCACACTGAGTGACACCAACCCCAGTGAAGCCACTGAACGTGACACACATTTATTAGATGATGTGGAACCACTCTAGTTATGGACCTAGGAACACCATCTGTCTGGCTGTCCCTTATATAGATTCCTCAAGTCAAGAGAGTTTATTTAGAGAGGACTCGCCTCCAATGCTATGGCAGACAGAGGCTGTGCCCCGAGACCACTAAAGAGGCTCCAAGGCCAATCAGAAACAGCTACAGAAACAGGGTGACAAATAAAAGTCAAGAAAACCAGAGGAGAGCCCTGATTTTACAGGTCGCACTTGGACATCTCTCATGAGATGGAGAGTTCTTCTTTATGTGGGCGCCCCTCCAGCAAGATGGATGTTTGTAACTCCATGCATCTTTGGGAAGAACAACCTTCTCCGAAAGTTGCAAACTCACTAATTTAGGAGCTATAAAAAACGTTCCCTTTTCCCTCATCATTGAACAAACCTCAAAAGCTTGTCCCTCTCTGCTATCTTCATAAACTTCTAAGTCGTCTTTGGGGCTGCCATGCTCTGTGTGGTGTCTGTCACAGAATATAGAGCATGTACACATGGGGTGAACCAGAAACAGATATCTGGTCCCTGTTTGTTTCTACATCTTTGCCCAACCCTCTCTCCGAAAAACTCATCCACTGCCTACAACTGAAAACTCTCATTTTTCTGCATTGACTTTACAGTTTCCCGGGGTTTTCCTAAGTTACAAACACCTCTTTCTCCTCACCTTCATCTCTTACTGACCAGCAGCAACTAGTCAGTCTAGGCTTTCCCTCACACCCCTTCCATTTCCCATTCAGATGACTCAGAACCTGCCATCCACCTGAAGGTACCTGTATAGTCTACGTCTCCACAGCCCTTTGTTGTATACTGATTGCCATATATTATCTGTGTTTATTTTCTAAATAAAAATGAAATTAGCAAAGAAAATGGAGTATTTCCTTCCACAAAACATTTGATGGGCAAGTCTCACGCTAGAGGCAATACAAGGTGAATTTAACTTCCAGGACAGACAGAGACACGATGAAGCAGCAGACAGTCCACATGTATGTTAGGTGACAACTAGCATGCTGTTTTACAAGCGAAGGAGAACAATATGACACTCTTGACGAAGTTCTCAGTGTCCCCTGAAGACCAGTGTCTCACACTGAAGGAGTACTCACTGAAAACTTCAACCTGAAAATGCGAAGTTGCCAAGATGCAAAAGAAGCAAGAACCAGAAAGTTCAACATAAGAGTCCCTATACTGTTAAAATTCCATATAGTTGATACAACTGTAATTTTTGGTTTAGTTTTCTGAATTACCTGCCCCATGACTGTAAATTCTGTAAGAACAGGAACTATGAATAAATTATGTATTATTTAACCTTGGAGTCCTGGAGTGGCATGGCAGGAGAGGCACTGGACTGATAATCGCCAAGGCTGCACTTGAAACTTACCAGTCACTCACAGAAACCCAAATCAGGGTCTCTATGAATCAGAACCAACTGGATGACACTTAATGCAACTTAAAGTGTCAATTTACTCCTGTCAGGCCACAAGTACACCTGGCTAGTTGTTTCTAGCCCCAGACTCCGGGTACAGCTTATAAAGGTGTGGTCAGGGATCTGGAGGTCATGTCAGCAGTGCTGACCTTCAGTCCACCCCAGGGTCTTTGCACTGGCTGGATCTTCAGCCCAGAGTGCTCTCTCCTTTCTTTTTCACATTGTCACAGCCTAAAGGTCATGACCCTAAACAAAGGCAAAGGGTCAGACTTTTAGCAGGCCTTCGCTGTACTCAGGGTAACCATAGTTACTGAGGAACAGGTCCCTTGATGGAAGGAATGACCTTAGAGTATCAATGCTTTGCTAACTCTAAGTGAAACAGGAGATTTGAGGTAATGATCACCAGCATTGTTTACAATGAAGGAGAGTCAGTCAGATATTGTTGTGTGCCTCCTGATAGGACACTACCACTCATGAAGGCATGTTGAAGAAAAGAAAAACAAAACAAACCAACCTGAATCAGAGCATGCCTCTAGATGTGACCAGTTCACAGGAAACACAGGGGACTAAAGAACATGTTAACCGGCAACTGCAGAAAACCCCACAGCATGCATGACTCAATTTCTTCAACAAAAAGTACACTACGGGAACATGAAAGAAAATCTACAGATTAAGAGAAAGCACACTAATGAAGGTCAAAGGCTACAGCCTTCAGTATGGATTGTAACTCAGAGTAAATAAAACAAAAATCCTCACAACTAGACCAATAAATTCTATCATGACAAATGGAGAAAAGATTCAAGTTGTCAATGACTTCATTTTGCCTAGATCCGCAATCAATGCTCATGGAAGAAGCAGTCAAGAAAGAACAGCACAAGCTGTGGCACTGGGCCAATGTGCTGAACAGACCCCTGTAAGGTATTAAATGGCAAAGATGTCACTTAAGGACTAAGGTACACCTGACCCTAGTCATGGTATTTTCAATCACCTCATATGCATGTGAAATCAGGGCAATGAATAAGGAAGACCAGAGAAGACGACTTCACAGTACCATGGACTACCACTGCCAGAGAATCAACCGATTTCTCCTGGGAGTACAGCTGGAGTACTCCTTAAAAGCAGGGGGCGTAGACTGCATCTCATGAGCTTTGGCCATGTTGTCAGGAGGGACCAGTCCCTGGAGAAGGACATCATGCTTGGTAAAGTGGAGGATCAACGAAACCAAGAAGATCCTCAAGATGGACTGAGACAGTGACTGGAGCAATGGGCTCAAACAAAAGCAACAAGAAACAATGTGAGGAGGCCACAGGACCAGGCTGTGTTTCACCCTACTGCATGTAGGGTCATTAGGACTTGGGATAAAGCACTGGACTGCCAGGTCAGTTTGGACCACACGATCGACAATTAAAACTCACCACCCCGCTCCTTGGAAACCATATACATTGGCCACTGTGAGTCAAAACCAACTCCATGGCACTTTAACAACAACAAAAGACATCAATCAATGGCAATGGGCAGATAGTCTGTGCTTGTATCCAAAATCAAACAGACTGACTTTAAAAACAATCCTGCTGTGGTAGATGAGGTTTGGTCAACTTGACTGGGCCAGAATTCCCAGGAGTTTGGCCATTGAGATGTGGCTATCCATCGCCGTGAGATAGCGATGAGAAGCCAGTCAACTGAGAGGGTGTGTCCTTGGGAGTGTGGCCTCTTCCTAATATAATGGACCCACTGGAAAGGTTCACTCTCTTCTCTGCTGGGGACTGGGGACTCTATGATTGTGAGCCAGTTCCTTGATAAAAACTTATTATTTTACATATACACACACATACATATAAACACACACATGTATGTTCTACTGCTGTAGAGAACCCAGGCTAGACACCCACATGTAAGATAACTGGCATCTTCGGAGTACAGACTCAATAATATGTGATGACTTTAAGGGGCATGACCATTATACTGTTATTGCTGTTGTTGTTGTTATGTGCCGTTGACTCCAACCCATAGCGACCCTGTATAGGGTTTCCGAGAGGTAGCTGGTGAGCTTGAACCACCAACCTTGCAGTTCACATGGCTTTGCAGTGGGACACCTTAACCCACAGCGCCACACCAGGACTGTAGACAAGCTAGAAAAGATAAGACGCATACTGAAATTGCTATGGATGAGATTATCTGGGATTTAGCTCAAAACAGTTTCCTATGGGGAAAGAGGTGCAGGAGCTACAGGTTAGACAAGAATGACTGGCTGTGAACTGAAATCCACTGAGGATGGGCAGTGGGTTCATGGGGTCACCATAACATTCTCTCTACTTGTAAGGTAAACCTCTCCTGCAGAATGGCTACAGGTTTGAAATGTCAGCCTTTCAGGTAGCAGCCAACGTCCAGCTCACAGTGCTACCAGGGCATCATACACCAAGTTCAAGTCTGTGCCTAATGCTTTATGTTTATTTACACTCACAGCCCCTCTGGAATGTAAGCTCCATGAGAACTTGGGGTTCATCTGTGTTCACGTGGCACATAGGGAGGAGCTTCATTGAACAGATATTAGAATGCACACATGCACATGCATGAATATGATATAGGTCACTGAGCAGCCTACAGCATTGCGCTGTGGATGTTCATAGAGGTAAACGGGCATTCACCCAGCGTCTTAGAAAGACATGAAAATATTACCATACCACACAAACAGTTTTAAGCATTGCAAACTAGCAACCGATTGTCACGTATTAAAACACACACGGCACTCGGAAACCTTTCTGTAAACCTGTGAATGAAGTGCCAGATCACTTCAAAGAAGCAGCTGATTGTTTGGGAAGCCTGTGGTTTCTGGACGCTCAACAAGATGGCTGGTATACATGGGCCCACCAGTTCCAGTTCCAAGGGCTGTAGGCTAAGTCAGACTCCAAACCAAGAATGAAAGCCATTACTCATCCACATGGAATGTTACCATAAGGATGGAGCTTAGGCAATCCAATGGAAGTTGCGTTCAATTTATAAGTCACGATGATGTCAATTGACAATAATAGACCCGGAATCCTAGTGGGGGAGCATGTCAGTTCAGTTCCTTCCAGTTAGGAGAACCTGAGCAGGCCCTGGCTCTCCATCTACTAAGACAGTATTTCTAACAAGTGAATTCTCTGCTTCTTTCTACCTTCAAGCTGAACTACCTTAATGTTTTTTAAATAGAAAATGGGATATTAGCATAAGAACCTAAGAAAGCAATTTTTAAATTTTCAAAATAAAGTCTGTAACTCCAAGGTACCCCACAAATAAGTACTCACTGGAGGCTGCCAAGCACCAGAATCAACTAGGCAGAACCAGAATTAATTAGGCAGAACCAGAATCAAATGACGAGACTGAGGCCCAGGCGGGCCAGAAGGGGAAGAAACCAACAGGTGTTTGTGGCTGGCTTCCTTCTGAGGTCCAGCGCCAGGAATCCAGAACCAGAATCAAATGACAAGACTGAGGCCCAGGTGGGCCAGAAGGGGAAGAAACCAATGGGTGTTTGTGGCTAGCTTCCCTCTGAGGTCCGGTGGGCACCAGGAATCCAGGTGAACCCTCAGGTTGTCAACAAGCCCATGTGACCTCCAGCTGGGTTATAGATGACTCTTGCACTGGTGGCAGTTCCAGGCTGGCTTCAAGAACCCTTTCTAACACTAAGGTCCAGTTTACTCTGTAGAGAGTGCCAACAAGAACAAACTCAGAACCTGTCACTACCCAATGTGCCAACCCAAGGGTAGGAGTCAAGACTCAAGGTCTGTGAGGCAGGACCAGGCAGCAACAGGAGTGGCAGGCTTTTTGCTGCCGAGGTGGGCATGGCCTCCCATTAACCATGGCCATCACTGTGTGGCCATCATCACTTCCAACCCATATCAACTGTGGGCATTCAATGTCTAGGCTGGTTCTTCGCAGTTCCACTGCTGACCAAAGCCCTGGTGCCTGCTGGGACGTCTTCTGTGGGGTTGCGTGTTCTGTGGGTTGAGGACACGGTGATGTCGCTCTGATTTCTTTGTGAAGCATTCAGTCTGAAGCTGGATGTCCCTTGCAGGGAAGGTGGAGGACATATACACCAAAGACTATGCATAACCCAAAGCTAGGCTGGCAGACTTTACAGAAACACACCACCACATCTTTCTCCCCAGAGCAGCTGGTGGATTTGAACCACCAACCTTTTGGTAGCAGACAAATACTTTAACCACTGTGCCATCCAGAGCTCCTTTGAAGGCAGGTAATGACCTGGTATCACTGTTGAT